CAGTCAGCTGGTTTTACCAGTTGCCCCGGCAACCAGCACCTGTGCAGCCCTGGTGACTGGCAGCTGAGCCTCCCCCTTTCTGCCACTAGGGGTCTCCCCAGAGCAGTCTCCACTTTCAGGCGCAGGGCACCTGAGTGCACTGCGACAGATTCCTATTCACTTTAATCAATTCTGGACCTAGTTGTACTAAGTAGATTTGTGGGCCTAAAAGTATTGAACAGCACCTTTCTACCCAAGGACCATTTGACACGCATTCTTGAAAATTAAATTAATCTGGTTATTCTATTTTGAGATCCATTTAGACAAAAAACAAAAACATGGGTGCATTAGTTTTTTAATCAGGTTTCCCCACTCGTAGTTTGGTGCCCAACGACCTATCAAGTTCAGCTCTCTCTCCTTTCATTTCCTGTCTTGGTGCTGCTCAAGATGAACAGCTGAAATGACACTGATTACTCATTTGTAGTAATTTTAAATATGTCCAATTAGGACAGTACAAAATTTAGCATTGTATTCCGCTCCTGGGTATCTGCAAGCAGATTCAAATGACAACTAAGTGGAGGAAATGGCAAAGTGTACAGTGAACTTTGACAGGAGCCTTTTGTAAAATCAGGGCTCACAAAATTATCTTCTAGTTGACTGCTCATAAGTGGTTATCTGTTAGGTCACATAATATTATTTTTGTTCTGTTATATGGAGATAAAAGTCTATTTGACACTAACATTCATCATTCATATTAACAATTTTCAGATATGTTTTCAAGTACAATTACCACAAGTAACTTTGACATTATCTTGCCATGAGATTGTATGCCATTTGAAATGTGTTTTCAGGAATACTCCTAGACAGAGAAAGAGGCATGAAGCCCCCGCCTCTCCACCACCCTTCCCAAGCACATCTATAAACACCCTGATATCCTGGGGCATGCAGGTTGTGTTTTCATCTTGAAGAGAGATTTTGAATAGAAAGCTTATATACCGATCCTTCCACAAAGACAGGGCATGTAGGGGGAAGGGGATAGAGTTCTAACATTCCAGTGAATTGTAACACTCATCTGTCAACAATTATGCTCAGTATAATCAAGGGAAGATCAAAGCCTCTCAAAAAGCCAGAGACCACAGGGATTCACGAGCTTAGAAATGGGAAAGTGAAGAACCAAATAGACATGAGAGGCCAGACTCTATTTCTATTAGGCATGTAAGTGGACTTAAATGTCTAGGTGCAATTTTATTTTACCCTGCTTGAGCACCTGAAAAAACTATTAAGACAAAAGGTGTATAGGTCTTCCTCTTCCTCCTCCTCCTCCTCACTGCTTTGTGACAATCTTATGAGTAAGATGGAAGCATATAACAAAGAAGCTACACTTACGGATTTTCAGGAATTTGAACATGATGGAATAGAATTACACTTAGCTGCCTAAATCGATTTAGACATACGACAGGTAGAATACAATCTGGCATAAATAAGCGGTAAAGAAATCTCAAATGAAGGTATTAGTTATAGAGCAAAATTCTGTGGATAAAATAAAACTTTAGTCAAATGGGCAGAACTCATTTATACACATATGGATACAGATTGATAGACAGACATCATTCTTTGTTAACAAAGTCTGTTCAAGACTTTTTATTTTAAAACATATTTTATGCTACAAAAAGTCCGTTATATAGAAAATAGAATCATTTCCCTTGCCAAAGAAATTCAAAATTGCTAACATCTGTTTAGTCACTATTGTAATTGTAATCAATGCCTCATCTTTGGAGGAGGTCTTAAAAGGATGAGGAAAATGGTAGTAATTCTTCAGAGCAAATAGCATGAAAAAACGTTTCTGTATAATGATCATTATTTGAAGCATATTTGAAAGGGTATTTTTAAACACTGTCAGGCAAAAATCATCCCAGATGCAATATCCTGAAAAATCCTTGCAAGAAGGTTGTTATGCACCCCTCAGCCAGTCCAAACAATCCCCTTTTGTCCCTTTGACCCAGCCAGAGACTCCCCACACTAATACTAACTCTAAAATGTCCCCAGTGAGGCAGACTGCCGGCTTAAGATCCATAACCCAGTGACTACAGACCCATTCCCAGGCCTCCACGGGCAACATCATCTTAACTGTCACTAATTCCATGGTTTTCAAGGGCAAGTTGGATTCCCATTTCAGCTACCAGGTGCATAGGTCTCTAAAGCACTGCATCACTGCTCAGGGTCTAGAGTCCAGGAGAAAGGGCTCCAACCCAGAGTAGCATCTGTATGCTTCCTCTATGAGCCCCACTTGATCTAAAGCTAGAGACTTGAGGGTGTCATAGGTACAGGCAAGCCCAATAGGCTGCATGACTTTCCCCAGTCAGGTAAGGCACCAGCATGCAGATCGCCACTCCCAGAACCACTGATCTGTTCCAGCCACCCACACAAAAATCTCCAAAAACACTTTGGGCTCATCATCAGGCCTCGTGCTGGTAAATGTTCCACCCCCTCCCACCTGGGTTACCGAAGCTACACACACCTGAGCGTGGGGCGCACCTTGTTTCAGCAATTTCAGCATGAAATGTTGCTGCAACTTTTGACAAAACTACTGCTGAAACTGGAGATGCTGCAACAGCTGCTGTTGTTGCTGAAATGCTGATCGCTGCTGCTGATGCAGCCCCTCCATTAGTGTCAGCCCAGCCTTGGGGTCCATTCTGCAGGCTCACAGCTAAGGGCTGCCCACTTCCCACCCCCTGTTTATGCAGGTTGGTGTGCCTGCTTCTGGGCCAGCAGGCGTTGTCCCCTTAGCAACCCCTCCATCAGTCCAAGCAATACCCTTGATCCAAAAAAACAAACGAGCAAAGCAAAATCTTTATCTTTTCTTCAGGCAGCAGGAGAGGGCTCTTTTAGCTCTGGCCCTTCCTAGACACTTCTCTAGGTTTCAGTATACCTCCCAACCACAAACTGCTCCTTCCTTAGCTCTTCTCACTCCTCTGGCGCTGCCAGCTAAGCACTCACACTTGGGCTCCTACCCCAGCACTTGCTGCCCCACTTAAAGGACCAGATTGCCCTACTACAGTCCTGTATTGCATTACTACACATGGAAAGTAACAAAGGCTACCATTTTTAACGCAAACGTATAAATAATAAATATTAGATTAATTTTGCTAGAGATTTTCAACTAAGTTTGATGACTTTTATTTTTTTCCCCCAATTAAAGAGATGGGCTGATTATGTGTTGAATAAATTATAAAAAATATATATTTCTTTTATAATTCAACCAATGCTAGTGAGTTCCTTCAGCTATCTCTAAAATGATTCTTTGAGGTGAAAAGATACAAAACTAGAAGGCAGAAGCATCCAAAACTAAAAGAGGGTCTGTTTGGGTGCAAAAAGCGATACGAATCCTGTGCAACTGCTTCTATCCTTTCATGCAGATGTCCCAGCAAAGCTGCCAAGGAATGTTTCAGCTCATAATCAGCTGGATCTTGTTTGACTAGTTAGCATGATGAAGAGGTATATCTTTCTCATTAGTGACTTTCCTGCCCCGCTGTTCCATGTCTCCTCTCCTCTTTGTACTAAAGCTTCATTACTGTTTTGTCTGTGCAAAGTACCAACCAAATGTGCTGGCCAGGAAGATACTGGAGTGGCCAAAAACTAATTTCCTACAAGGTCATCTTTCCACTTAAATTATATGAAAATAAGGTTTTTAGGAAGCCTGTGCACTCAGAATAGGGAAGAAAGGAATCAGCAGGGAAAGTGGTGAAATATTCTCCTTTGCATATCATGTCCGGCTAGCTGCTGCACAAGGTTGCATTTTCACTGCATTTGAAAGGAAGCTGATTGACAAAAAAAACACCACCCCTTGAGTGCCACGTCCAGGGTAATAGTGGGAAGATTAACCAGAAAGAAAATTCAACAACTCTGAAAGAACGCAAAAGATATGCCACTATTTCTTATACTAGGGAAGCAGAAGTATCCTTCACTTCCTGACCTCAACTGCTATACAATTTTGTTTTGCAGCACTGTTAACATGCCTACTAGATTTCACCCTAGAACTAATTGTGGTAAAGATGATCTACGAAGCATTTTTAATTCTTCTGAATAGAAGAGGAAAATCACATTTTTAAAAATGACAGGTATTACCTGTATCTGTCCAATTCAGCACTCTTGATCATGGAAAAGAAAAAGTAAAAAGAAGTATTTCTTCACCTGTCGTGTCTTTAGCTGGTGAAATTCTCTGCTCCAAGAGGTCATAAACTCCAGCACCGTGGGTGGGTTTAAAAAGCCGTAGGACAATGTTGTGATCACTGATATCTTTCCAATGTGAAGTCTGAGTAATGAAGCCAAATAATCATGTCTGACAATATCAGAATGGTTCCACAGATGTCAGGAAGTAATTTTTCCCACTATATAAAAGTGCAAGATAGACCAAGGGCCAGATCCTAAAAAACAGCTGAAATGCCTGAATGAGGATCTAGACAGACTGCAAGCACATAAATCTCAAACTGTCCCTCCATCCCCCTCACAGTCACTCAGTGGCTACATAACACTAGACAGGCATTGAATTTACTAGGTGCTTCTTGATCTCAAAATTGATGAATGTTTTTAGGGCTTTGCTGTGTGCTGCTGTGGAGCAGAACATGTGAGAATTATGAAGCTGGAAGACAACACGTGTTTGGGGGGGGCGGGGGGTGGTCCCGGGTTGTAGCCATATCGGTCTAGAGACAAAAGGAACTAAGACTCGTGGCAGAGGTGATATCTTTTATTAGACCAACTACACATAAGTGCCTGTGTACTGGCCCTAAAAAGGCAAGGGAGGAGGGCATGTGCCCTGTTGTATACATGTGTGCACCTGCAAACTCTTCAAATACAGATAGTACCAGGTCCCCTGACCTCCTCTTGGACTTTGATTAAGCGGCTGATATCTTACAAATAGCCCCAGAGAAGAAGGCCGTAATAAGGTAGGAAAGAGAGCGCCAGGAACAAGGGGCAAAGCGCAGCATAGCCTGGAAGAGAGTGAGCTGTGTTTGAGGTTTTCCAGCATCACAAACTGAGCTGCCAGGGTTGTTATCTTCCAGAAGCAATATTATTCTTGATGATTTAAGAAATGGAAAGAAAAGAGCTGGGTTTTCCCCCGTGAAGACTACAGTGCTAGCAGGCAGGGCAGGAGATCCAGCTTCTTCTATGAACAGAAAAATTGAACTAAAAAGGAAGATTGCTGTACTGGGTCCTGCTTTCGCTTAAGCTCTCCCCACTTTCCTCTGCTCTTCCCAGAGACTGCAACAAAGGAGGAGGGTCTGAGTTCAAGGGGTCTCCATCACACACACACTTCTTATCTTATCAACTCCTAGTGCTTGTATGATGAGTTGCCTGTAGCTGCTGGCTTCTTAGACATGTTTTACCTCCTGTTTTCTCCTGAAACGCCAGAGCCCTCTGGCGGAGGACATCAGAGCACTCATAATCTTATCCAGTGAAGGACGCTGGAAGTTAATGGCACGCGGAGGTTAATGGCTGGGAGGCAGGTGGTGACCCGAACCAGGCCCCCAAATCCCTGCTGGTTCCCTGCTATAAGCCTCTATTTCATTTTTTCTACCTTACAAGCAGCGAGAGTCTCAAGTGCCTTTTTTACTGTTTTGCTTCCACATGATTCATTCTAAAATCAGAGGAACTGGAGTGAAGCTTTCTGGCTACTTGGCATCAAAGGGCTGGTTATCTTTCACTGGAGACAAGTGTTCACGAAGAAAGGGAGCGGGAAAGCCAGGGCGGAGGGCGCGGGGCCCCTCGGGCCCGACCCCACCACACCTCCGGAACGGCGAGGGGCTGGGGGGCAACAGCCTGAGACGCAGCCCAGCCCCGGGGAGCTCCTCGCGGCCCGCTGGGGACCGAGTCGCCTGGACCAGCGGCCGAGTGACGAAGCGCGCGGGGGTGACGGCAGCCGCGGCCGAGGGCAGCCGGGCCGGGCAGAGACGCGGGCTGGCGGCCCACGGGATGGCGAGGCAGCGCTGCCAAAGCGCCTCCTCCTCCTCCTCCTCCTCCTCCTCCGGGCTTTCCAGCGCAGCAGCGCGGGGGGGCGGCAGCCGGGACAGGCAGGGCGAGCCGGTTCCCGCTGCCCCCCGCAG